TACTACTTACTACTAATAACTAGCCTTAAAACCAGCAATCTTAAGAGCTCCATTTAGCACAAAACATTAGCCCAACTCTGTAATTTTGAAAATAATTTCAGATATTCGAACCACACCCAATAATACGTAGCAAATGGGAACAAGCCGAATTACGTAATTTGTTTCTACTTATCTTAGTGGCCCGGCATGGCCAGGTGGTTAGGGCGCTCGTCTCGCAATTTGAGGGTTGCGGGTTCGAATCCACATCTCACCAAACATGTTCGCCCTTTCAACCGTGGGGGCGTTATAATGTGACGGTCAATCCCACTATTCGTTGGTAAAAGAGTAGCCCAAGAGTTGGCGGTGGGTGGTGATGACTAGCTGCCTTCCCTCTAGTCTTACACTGCTAAATTAGTGACGGCTAGCGCAGATAGCTCTCGTGTAGCTTTTCGCGAAATTCAAAACAAACAAACTTGTTTCAGTTAATTACATAAATGTCCTACATATTAGATGTTAAATCGTAAATTATTCATACAGAATAGAGAGTTAGTATGCTTTCCAAGAAACATACCATTTAAATGTTACCTTGTCATTATTACATTCCTTACTAGTTGCAGTCTTACGTTAGTATTGAAATCGTAGGATGAGGTTATCTGCAGTCTGTTCACTGGGGAGAACTGCGCACCGAATTCTTAGCGTTATAATCTCGTAAACTCACCGCAGACCCACCGAGAGACATCTTTGCAAGTAATAAACAACAAACAAACCTTAATAATGATTCAATCTTAGGAAATCTTACTATTTGTCTTGATTAGATTCTCAAGTGAAACATGAGAGTTTCCTCTGGGTTTCATAAATTATCATCCTTATACATGAACATAGACTTGAATGTTCAGCAAAACTTTGAAGTTTAAGTTGTTTTCATAATTTTCATACGATTTATTTATCGCTATAACTGATGCTTCAAGTATGTAATGGCAAATTTTGCTACTTTTTCCCCCAAAAGTAACAACTGCTCGCAGTCTGTAATATAGAAAGTAAGAAATTTACAAGATTTTTATACATCTATAAGAAACGAAGACAACAATGATACGACGCTTTTAATCATTTATCTATGAAGATATTTTTGCTGTACTGTTACGGAATTGTAGCAATAACATGCATTTTTCAAGTTTAGATTTCGAACATTCTTAACTTCATGGTTACAGAGTAGTCATGCTTAAAACGCTTCCATTGCTTCTCTTTCCTCGTGCCTGTTTTATAGAGACATATACTGCTCTACATACGGAGATGTAAGAATTTGGATGAATTTCGTTGTTATTTTTGCGATAGGTTTTATGTTCAAGTAACCTGGATGTCATGCTGTATCAATTTTATGACCATCTTTGAAGGTTCATCGGCTTCTTCCGCCTGTTTGAGTTCGCCTGGAGACGACGTTTGAGACCATGAAATTCTGCATTAGACGATTGAAATCTCGTCTCCAAATAAATTCAGACAGGCGGTTGAAGACCTTTCCGTTTTTCAAGATGAATAATCTTTCTCCACCTACATTTTGCTAACTCCACCTATATCTCTGTTCTTTTCTGTTACAGGGTAAAACACGCAAACTGTGCAATAGCAAAACGAAAAACTTAAGTCTACCAAATTCACTTAAAATTGCATAATGTCATACTTTAAGCTTGAAACTCTGAGGGCTTCAAAACGACAAATAAAGAAAGTCCTGTTACCACAAGCAACGTGAATAAAACCAACCTAGACAATATCTTTAAGGAGTAATCGCTTAACTAGAGAATCTGAGCCATCGCTGTAAACGTAGCTGAGATGCCAATGAAATTATTAAAATTTATTTTCCATAATTCAATTTTCACGTCACTGGGATCGTATTCTAATATAAATAGTCTACTGTGCTACTAATTAGTGCTTTACTACTATATGGGGGCTGGAATGCCAACCTCAGGAGGTAAGTTTATCTTACGTATCCCCAAGTGGTAATACCATATTTCGTTTTACTTTTATATTTATTTTTCTTCTCCTTTTACTTTGGAGAGCAGTCACCTTCCCACAACTGTCTGCAGGCAGTGAAGGGTGATATAGATGTGGGACGTTGTGGGTTTGAGCACCCACATCTATATCACCCTAATTTCTGTTTCTTTTGATTATTTTATTTCGATGAATTTCTTCATGTGAGACTGGCGAACGGAGGTTATGACTGATAGATGGTGTATCTTCACCGCAATGTGGGTCCTACTTCCGCAGTCACCTCCAAAACTCAAGGCGCATTTTATATCCCATATTATAGCCTGTACTCTGGTGATCCTTTTAATTATGCAGCGTCTTTAATTTAACTTGGGGGTCTTGTTTTTGTTAATTTATATGTCAGTTATCACAGGTTTGGATTTACTGTTTTTAACGCAGTTCTTATTTTTGATTTTACTTTGCATAACTGTTTAAGTATTAATTGTATATATATATATACATAGAAACTTGCCATTAACAGACGCTTTTAGGGAACTTTCTCCTAAAAATCGTTTTTTTTTACCTGAAGACATAAAAAATCTAGCTAGATCGTTTTTTTTACTTATCATTCTAATGATAACATTTTCATATTACCTATGGACAATTCTGTTTGCTCTCTGCTATGATGGGTGATTTGCCCAAACACAGTGTCGAGAGATTATTTGTATTATAATATAACATTAGACATTTTAACATTACTTACTAGTAAGCCGTAGATATCTACAACCTAGAAATACAAATATATTATCTTAAATGTTTACATTTCCGAAACTGATTGAAATATAATAAAAGTTCGTGATCAAGTGGTTATACTGTAAGTTTTTTCCATTTCTTTTTAATGTGAAATAATACAACATATTTTATTGCTATGTGAAATAACTATAGTGATCAATGGTTGGGCGTAGCCCAGTTATTAACGTGCTGGGTTGTGAATTCCACGGTTCTTGGTTCACTACCTGTTGCTATAAAAGAAACGTTTATCAATTTTCAATGATTAAGAATTATCATAAAATATAATCATGATGCATTGTTAATGAAACGAAGAAGAACGTTAAAAGATGAATTTGAAGCTGTAACAGGCTTTCTGTCAGTTAGATTTATTGGTAATCAGACAAAGTTACTACACGATTTGACGAAAGTGAAAACTTTCCTAGTTAATTAATTTTCAATTATTTTGAAGAAGACAGTTTTTTGGCCCCTTGGTAACTCTATATTAAAGAAAATAAATTGGGTTTGGTCTGTCAGTTCTAAATTGAGTTATTGTTTTGGTTTTTAAAGCCTTTTATGTAGTTTAATAGAGCGGATTTAAACCTTTTTATCATGATAAGTTTTCTGCTATAGCTTCAAATAAAAAAAAAATATTAATGTATTATGAATGATAAATAGCGTGTTGTACAACATTGATGACTATACTTCTCTGTAATGGGAGGATTTAGTTTCAGAATCTGTCAAAGAATGCTGTGGATGCTCAAGGTTTTTGAATGAAAGATCATTTTGTTGAAAAAATCAACAAAAGCGTACAGAAAAAGATGTACATTACAATGTGTTTAACGTTTACGTAGTTGGTCTTTGTTAATACAAACCCTAGCAAGAAATGTTAGGCATTAAGTAAAATACTAAATGTTTGGTCAACAAGAAAAGTAACCATCTTTGAAATGGTTGTAAGTAGTTCACTCGCTTACAAGATTGCTAATTCTTATTTACCAATTAGTTGTGGTATTAAACTGATTTCATGTATAAAGTTCATAACAGCTCTAAAATAATACACATATAGATTTTTGTGCATATAATAAGTTTTAGAATACTATCACGATTCAGCTGTAGCAGTGCAAATTCCCATGTAACCCGCAATATTGAAACTCGCCTTGCGCGAGGGTTTTAAAACAGAGCCACTTCTTGTATTGATTACTGAATAAGTTTTATTTGTATAGAGTGTGAGTTATGTTTCTTTTTTGTTTTTATTACTGGATATAGAATCAATGAAAAATATAATACTTTAGAGCTTTTTAAGCTAAGATTTTGTTGTGTGTGTTTTATGTAACATGTAAACGAAGAAAGAACTTTTAAAATATAAGATACAGGTGTTTTTGATATAAACAAAACGTTCAGTTTTATAACAAATCTATTTAACTCTTACGAACAGGCAATGTATACTAAATAATGTTTTACAAATGTATTGGAGTAATTCTTCATGAATGCTGAATTAATCAAATACAGATAACTTCAAACACAAATAAAGAAAATATAATTACATACAAGATAAATAAACATTTTGTTACTAGTAGCTTAAAAATCGAAAGTAACTCAGTGAAACAGATTTCAAGTTTTGTAATAAAAGTCCCAGTGAAGTATGTTTGAATTCGTGATTGTTCTCTGTTGTATGTGGATTTTATTGCTTATGACTAAATAACTTACTCGGGAAGCGTTATGCGACACGTTTCTGTTAGGTGACGTTGTAAATAAATTCAACAGAAACCCCTTGAATAATGCTTAAGATAGTTTTATACTTTTATAATGCTTTACTCAATAGCTATATATTTACGAATGTTGACTAAATAACTTAAGAAAACATCTACTGGTATTTATTCATGTCACGTGGAGTAGGTAATTCAACGAGTAGATTTGTTTAGGCAAATTATGTCATTTTTGTTATAAAGCGACGGGTTTTGTTAAAGTCACTTGTAGTAGATGACTTTTAATACTGATATATAGGCTACAATATAAATTGTAAAAGAAAGAATTATTCAATTATCCATTAAGAATGAATAGGTTACCACTTATCACATACAATTATCCTTTTGTTAAACACTGGCTGCTAAGAAATTAGTTTCAATAAAATGACAGTTAACTATTCTCTTATTGTTTTTGTTGATATCCCTATTTCTTACTTAAAGTATTATAGTTTGATTAATGTTATTTAGCGTGTGCTTTACTTTGATGTTGTTACTCGCGTGTAACAAAAAAAGCAAAAAAAAAACGGAAATTAATGCGAAATAATTCACCAGTTCCTTTTTCATCAGTGGTGTTCGGTCTGAAACTGACAGCACTTAACGTACCTTCCGGAGTAAAACAGGGCGCCCCCGTGTGGCTATATTGTGGATATGACCTGGAGGAAGATGACCTTTACTCAGTGAAGTGGTACAAGAATCATGTGGAATTTTATCGCTACTTGCCCAGTGATGAACCACCTGGACAAAAATATGATCTTCTGGGTGTACACATCAACGTAAGTAAATACTATTATTAACTAGTTTACTTCATACCAGCAAAGTTCAGGCTAAATAAGAAAATACGACTTATTTCGTGTAAAGTTTAAAATAGTATTTTGTTTCACATTGTAAATAGAGCATTTCCTGGGAGTACACGTTAAATAGTGCAAATGTCAATGAAACTACTTGATGTCATCAAAATTCAAGCGAAATAAACTTGGCACAAACTCCATTACCTATCTGTCAAAACTACAGTAGTACTTATAGTAGGTGTGGGCCAGATGTGACTTATGTGCAATACAAATTAAAACCTCAAACACACTACAAACAGCAAGAAAACAAAACCTTATAAACACTTTACACACACTGTTGAGTAGAAACAAACAAACTGTTGAGTAATAAGCCACCAAAGCACTTGTGAAAGTCGGTACACTAAAAACAAAAATTTCACAAAAACACAAGTTTGTCAATCTAACTATCTGACAGACTAACGTTGTTGGAAAGGCATAGCTCCCACCTGTCTTCACATTATGCAAATCTATATGCATATGATTGAATTATTCTACCTCGGCTAAAATCGTTTATCTGAGTTAACAATACACTAATAGTCATATTCTATTATTACGAGCACGCTCTGTGAGTTGCCAAGTAACAACCCGCCCTTATAGTTTGTGCGATTGTTAGATTGCTATGTGCACGCGCTACATAATCAGCGTGCAGCTGTATCAGCTAAATATAAAACCATGAACTAAGTACATTCTCTAGACATAGGTTTTAACTATGATGTAACATTTGAAAGAGAAGTTTTTGGTTATACACATCAGACTCGATGATTTTGTGTTAAACAAAGCAATTTTATCATAGCAGTCCATGCCTAAGTTGTGAGGATGAACGCTACCCCTGCCGAAGTGAGATACGGCTTTGCTCGAGAACTTTGAACTTAAAACAAGAACGATAAGATGTATAATTTAGGTTTGTATTGTTTTCAAACTAAATGTAACCTATTGACATCTAAGGTTTTTAAAATATACCTTTTAAGGAAACAAAACGAGAGAACATGAGAAAATCTTATGTTGATAACCTTGAAAAGTCTTTGTTCCCACGAAGACAGCATTATTGCAAGAATAGAAATAAGGCTAGAAACAGTAAAACTTAATATGCGAAACAAGCCTTATCCATTAATCCAGTCAAAGAAAAGGCTGCCACCCTGACTAGATAAAAGAAAAACTATAGCAAAGATATCAACAAAAACCAGGGAATGTCGAGAGATAGCTCTAAGAAAAGCTATGAGAAGGAAAGACCTTGGACCCGGTCACTCTCGAGACTTAGTACCAAAAAAGTTATGAGACAAGTGTAAAACATTTTTAAATAAGAAATAAATTACTAAGTAGAAATGGAAGCACCAAAAAGTAAGGAAATAAGGTAGGAATGGGCGGGTTACATTACAACACTTCGTGGTTTTGGACATGGCGCAACCTCAAAATGAATATGGTCATCATTCATTCCATTCCTACTTCGTGTTCTACGTTGAACTTTGATAAAATTTTAGATTTGAAATGAGTTTTATCAGTAGCTAATCCTTTCTAAATATTCAACAAATTAATTTTTTTAATCAGCGGTTTTGATACTGTTCTTGTGGCTCGCCTCTTACCAGTCAGACAGATATAATGTCTCTCATAAGTAAAGTATGACTATTGGAGATTTCTGTCTCACGTCCGACATCAAACTTATGATGTCATGCATTTCGTTAGGGTCACGTAATCTGATGTATCTGTACTTGGTTGCTGAAACAAAGTTTACAACAGAGAAATTTAGCTATATACACCTTTCGTTTAATTTGAACAATTACCAACTTAAAAAGCACAAGAAGTAGGAATAAGTGGAACAATGGCCACACACAATTTGATGTTGCACAGTGTCAAAAACCACCAGTTGTTGTAATGTTATCCCACCCATTCCTACTTCCTAATTTTTTAAATATTTTACACTTGTATATATAAAGATGTGTTATTTTTTTGTCTGTCTGATGTAACAACTAATGAGAAACTGGTTGACTTAATTTTGATGAGATTTTATAGAAGAACCCAAGTTATTCTCCCAAATAACGAGTTTAACGATTCGAGTTTGGTTGTAATTTAAATCTTACCTTTTAATACCGTGAATGAGCTAAAAAGTCGGAGGCCAAAGAAGTGAAGCCTATTTCAAACAAAAGTAATATAAAGTGCCGAGCGTAGCATAGCGTCGGAAGGCTTAACTAAGTGGAAGGAAATGGCTCTGTAGTAGTTATTAATAAAGTTCAAATTGGACGAGAGCAGGATCTAATTACTTCTCCTTCCCAAATGTTCTCCGATGAGATAGCAGTAAGTTTACAGACTTACAATGTCAAAATTCTGGGCTCGATTCCCCGCAATGAACACAGCAGATAATCCATTGTGGCTTTGGTATAAGACAAACAAGCAAACCCCCAAATTTTCAGAAAATATAACTTCCTGAAGTTTTATTGTGTTTGTTTAAAACAATCACTGAGTCATTTTCTCATCAGCCCCCCGAGAAAAAATTACTATTTAACATCGACATACGTTTACACTAGTTCTTTAGGGGTTCTTTTGTTATTTGCCTGACGACGCCACTACATGGCTGCTCACATTAACGCATATATATATACCTTACTCAATCATCATATATTTTCAGTAAAGCTCAAACTAAACGAAAGTTTGCCCTGTTGAGCTTCAGGTTAGCGTAAGTAGCATTAGCATAGTAATTAATTATTAGTTAAGTTCAAGCTGAACCTGCTGGATTTCTTTAACTTGTTGTATAGCTTATGTTTCATAGGGGATTAAAACTTTTCTTTGCAAATGCAAAACGACATACCCCTATGGATATCTGAATCTATAATACATCCTTCCTTATGTATAGGTAAAGTCAAACGAAGAACCCACCAAAAAGATAGATTTCCGTATTATATGTTTGATTAATTTGATTAACGGCAATATTTCAATGTTTTCTAAAGCACGTAAAACGTTTTAAATCCTTTGTGAAAAGTCAGATACTTATAACTATTTATAACTCCTGTAGTATTGCCGGTAATAATATGCATATAGATCCATGTAAGAATTTAAATAAATAAACACTTCATTACTTCTATCCCCTCGCTACTACTAATAACTGGATAGATAGTCTACTTCTAAGTTGTCTTCTTAATTTAAAACAATAACCAGATACTTTTGTATTCTAAAAATATAGAATTTCTTTATTGTTTATTTTAAACATCTTCCTCAACATTTATGATTTTATTTTCTTGGCATACCCTCGTTCCATATGAGTACATAGGAACTAATGAATAGTAAATTAACTTTGTAGATTTTTATCACTATGGTATGTATAATAATAAGTATTTAAGTTTCAGATTTTGCCTTTTTTATAGTAGTTTATTTAACAACTTTGTTCAAGTTCAACTCGTGAAACAACATATTGAATTTTCTAATTTTATAACTTCTGTAGATGGGACGGGGTTGGCCTAAATCAGTGGTTCCCAAACTCTATTAGTCTGAGGTTCTCTTGATATGTATAAAAACGTTTGAAACCCCCCAATCTATAAAAATGCCTTAAAGTGTGATTTTAAAAAGCCCCCCCCCACTACTTTAGCATGGTGATTGAAAAACAATGCCGTAGTAAAAATAGTAACATCTCCTTTCGACATACTGTATCATTTAATTAATTTAGAATTAAAATTCATTCACCATCTTTGTTTTGGGCCCATTTTTTGGCGGCCCCCAGAAAAAGCGGCTCCCACTTTGGGAAACAGTGGCCTAAAGGCTAACATGACAGACTGTGGATCAGAGGGTTTACTATTCGCGTCCCTTTGATGTGAAATCGCACTCTGTACTCCGGAACTATGAATGTAATATAAGAACGATGATCAAATTCCAAGAGTAGCCCAAGATCTGGCTATTGAGGAGCTGTTAGCTGCTTCTCTTCTAGTCTATCAGTGCAAAATTAGGAAGTGCAGATACCCTTTGTTAGCTTTGCTCAAATATCATAAACAAACAAAACATTTCAATAGATTTACTTCTATAATAAAAATCATTATTTCTGTAGTATACATTGCTCAATATGCCCGCCACGACGTCGTACAAAGTATAAAATTTAATCATTTAGATATATTTTAGTGTTGTAACTAATCTCAGTTGGTATTGCTTTGAAGACCCTCGAGTGCCTGTATTTGCATTTATTTGCATGGAACAAGTAACACCATTGACATGGTACGCGAGCGTTAATTTGTATTAATTTTCAGTAAATTAATAATGAATCGAAATTTATTCCTTGGTATTAAATGTAGTCTCACAATAGTTGTATATTTTCCTGTATATACTGTTACTGGTGAAGAAATTATAGCAATCAGGAGAAGCTGGATGGTAATTAATTAGTTATTTTAACTAAATCTTCAACTCGATTTATTTGAAAATGCTCAAACAAATGGTGTTTTTACAAATATGTATGTGAAACTATGTTTTGTTGGCTTTCGTAAAAACAATATTTGATAAGATGTATTTCAACAAGATTGAAAGCAAAACCAAATCAACTTTTCTCATGTTGGTTTTGAATTTGCTTCGCAAAAACCTTTTACTCTATATTCTGTATATATTGTTTACAGAGAGGGAAGATAAGTAACAATAAGTCACAGATCTTAGTCCCCATTTTCAGACAATTTTCAGATTTATCGCAAAATGATGAAGATTAATTTTAGTTTTTAACTATTTGTTTAGGTGTTTTCTGTATCCATTTTTCTAACTGCAATTGACGTTCGTAAGTATTGAAAATAAAATTGGCATATTAAAGTCGTAATACACTCTAATGATGGCTGATTTTAAACCAGAGATAGTGGATTTAAAATATTGTGCATACGAACTACTGGACCATACTGTAGCTGTGAATAAATTATTGAAACAAATTGACATGTTATTACTTGATCAGTGAGAAATACGTGATCGTATCGCATCAACTATTCGTTAGCAAGTGAGTGTAGTTTCATTGGCCATGTCAATTACTTTCTGTATGACGTAGGGGAAAATTTCTGTATATGTAATACGTTTATTCTGTAAAAGCAACAGGAAAAAATTGGTTTTCTTCAACATTTGCATACTTTTATATGAGTTTTGTATATAAGGTCAAAAAGGCTATTAAATTTGAATAAAAGTCCCAGTGCTTTAAGTGAAGAAGTACAAGAGTGTATGTAAACACGAAGTCTTCCTTAAATTGTTCCCGCCCTAAAAATTGTTACACTCGTAAAGATAGCATTCTATGATATCAATCTGGTTATGCTGACGAGAGCTGTCATATCTCGAAACGCGATAATACACGGCTGATCATAAAATGGTATTTGTTATCCAGTATGAGCAAATATATTTCATACTTCAAAAATATATTATGATGTGCTGTCAATTTGATCTCAGTTTAATTGGTAAAACACTGCCCCGAAGACTGATTTTTGTGGTCTTTGCGAAACAGATGTTTTTTATAACAATACATGATGTAAAAAATTGTTGCTGACTAACTGAAAAACACGATTTCGTGCTCTTTATAAATAAAAATACGTATATATTTGTTGCAATTCACTTTAATACAGTTGTTAAAATGCAGATAATGAAAATAACCAGTTTAGCACTCACTAGTGCTTAAGGTTTTAATGTAAGATATATTTTTTCTGCATATTCATTTATGATATTATAAACATGCTATGTGGGTGGATTTATTAACTATTTTAAAATAACTAAGGCCTTAAGTAACTTTCACAGACGCAACATGAAAGTACACATACATGGAACAGGAATTATAGTACTTACAACTTTCAAACATCGTAGCAAGGGTAAGAAAGAATCGATCTGAAGGTCTGGTTTTTTTTGTGTGTTCAAATAAGTCAGCAAATCTTACTTATGCCATTACTAAAACAGCTCATGCGGAAACAAAGAAAGCACAGTGATGTTATTAGAGTTGCTTTATACATTCTATGACATCAGGAAAGATGATAAGAAATTCTTAGTGTGTAGAGCGCCTTAGCTGACGAAAAATGTCATATAGTAGTATTGTACGTGTGATGTCACACATGTAATACTTACAAGTAAACGTTGATAGTTTAACACTACTAAGCTTCAGCTAGCATGAAAAATGATAAGGCACAGGTGGCTATTATTGACTTTACCATACTTTTTTCTTTCATATTATAAACACGAGAACATTAAAGCATTTTGTGAAATTGCGATTTTGTTTTATAAAAAAAAACTTAGCTGCTTTAATGCTCAACGTCGTGTAATGCTAGAATTCAGAGTTTGATTCCTGCAGCAACACAGCGTATATAGCTTATTTTGCAGACTGTATATTATGGTAGTTTACACAAAGCACTATCAAACATATATTCGATATTTTAGTAAAGTTTGGTTTAGCAGTACGTATATTTACTAGCCTTACATAAAGAGGATCAAATTTTATTATGTCTCTTTTTGTTTTTTTTTCATCATTTGCAAATAAATAATGAGAGAAAAAATACGCCACTATAATAAATGAATTATTGCGATTAAGTTATGAAATTTACCGATTTTCTTCTTTTCATTAGGGGTCTTTGACTTTATATACTTACATAAGTGATGAATCAAAACAGTTATTTTTTCTATACACGAGCATATACACACAGGAAGAAACGATCGCTAAAAAAGTGACGTATATTGCATTATAATAAATGCTACACAGAGAATAAATTCATATTTGTAAACCAATTTATTTAAATTATTTCTCTCAATTTTCTTAGTACCATGTGCACTTAGAGAGCTAACTTACTCAGGATGAGAGAATTTAATCAAACCATTAAGTTAGTAACCCGGAAACTATAGGCTTGCTGGTCGTTGAACTGTCAATATAAAAAGTAATTATTTCTATTTGTTTACATCTATGTACTATAGTACATATATTGCAAGCAGTAACTCTTAATTATGCCTTTTACTCGAACATGGCAAGTTTCTTATGTATTTTATTGACGTATGAATGCAAGCTTCTTTATAGACATATGTTTAAAGTTAACAATAGAAAAAATAACCCCATGAATGCGTTTTTCGGATTAAACGAATACCTTCCTAGTCTTAAATGTTCACACTGTTATTAGTAACTTCAAATAATCTACAATCCTTTTATTATTACAAGAAAAATAGAGAGAAAATTAAACATTTACGTTATTATTTATTTAGTCATTTTACAGCTTTCGTTCTAAAGTTTACTGATTTAAGTTTTATCTTCCCCGAGTTACTTTTAGTTAAATATTGAATTTTTCATTAAATGATTTCATAACTACTATTGTCTCCATTTTATGTGCGTTAAATAGTTTTTTCGTGATAAATGAAGTTCAAAGCCTCACAGAACAGAGAAATGTGAAACCGGAATAACAGTTTAAACTGCGAAATCGCTATCCTTAAAACAAAACCAACAGTACAGCATGTCTTCTACACCGTCTATCAATTTCTTGTAATTTTCTAACTTAGATGTACACCTGTAATTGTTATGCTATTACGTAATATTTTTAGACATTGTATTACAGCTTATTTATTTGTTCCTCGTTCGCTCAGTGGCAAGTCTCACGACTTATAACGCTAAAAATCGAGTTTCGATACTCGCAGTGCCGTAGAACAGATGCCCAATTATGTAGCTTTGCGCTTAACAATAAACAAAACAAGTTATCTGATGTGGTACTTTCAGGGACGTTATAATTTGATAAGAAACTGTTCATCGTTATCTTGATGTTGGTTTATCATTCTATTTACCTTATATTAAGACATATTTTAGTATTCAAACAAGATAATTTTTTAGTGTAAACTTTATACTTATATTGTGAATATATAGTATTACGAGTACTACTGCTTTGGGCTTTAATAACGAGAAATAGTAAATGTGGCGTATTACAAAAGCATGTTTCGTATGCTTTGTTCGTGCTAGCAACGAACACAAAACTTTAAACCTGCGAAAAGTTATTTTTGTTCACATGCAATTTTTGATCCGAAATAGCTTTTGAGCTGGTTAGTTTACAGCTTCTCTTTGGCTCTTTCATCAACATTTCAGTGTGTTAGAACACTAATTCCTAGCTTGAACATATTGAATATAACAACTGCATTATAACACAGCGGGGAACGATAATAATTCCTCAATATACAGGCTTGATAATCGTTTAATATCTTCTCTTATTTATCAGGACATTTATTACTACTCATATTAGCTAGTTTATTACACAATTATAAGATAGTAACAGTTGGTAACTCTGAACGCGTATATGTTTGTTTTATTATTATTCTAACAAACTGCGTGCTTTGAAGCGTTTCCTAGATTATTACATTTGTACATCAAATTTGTTACAATCCTAAACTTTTAAACCGTTCTCTAAATATCCGTTAAGGCTTATAGTGTGAGTGATAAACATTTTATAAATAGCCAACTGTCAGGTTTTACTTTATGTTGAAATGTATTGACTGCAAGCTTAGTTTAGGCTGACGATGGCTTTTAGCATGATCACGGTTACATTAAATTCTAGCCTAACGACGGCTACAGTAAAGTTTAGTCTGACAATAAGTTCATCCCGACCACAGCCACAGTAAAGTAGCCAAAAGCTTGGCGTATATACACTTCAACGTGTAGGAAAGCATGTTCGTTATCTATTTATTGCACTCTTCCTACTCTGTGTATTGTACTTTACAAGTGTTTAAACGAATTAAAGAAACAATAAACAAAAATGCTATTTTAATCCACACGCAAAAATTTTATACAGCAAGAAATACTGAGTCTTATATACCAAACTGTTGTAAAGAAAGCGTGATGCAAACATTTTACTATTACAGTACTAAATACTATGCCAAGTATATAGGTTTATGATATAAAAACAGTAGAATAATTTAAGCTAATACTTATGACTAATTCTTACACTTACACTTTGTATCTAAAAAACTAATAAATTATGTTCAATAATTACATTTAAAATTGTTAAGCAGCTTAGATAACTTAGAGATTTCACTTTCTTATACCTCTTATTTGTTCTTTACTTAAGACGCTGACGACAACGTGTAACTTAAGTTTTTTTTTTCCTTTTCCATTAAATCAACAGGTATTCAAGTCAGGTTTAGTCTACCAATAGTACTGAGTATGGATGTCAAAAGGTAACAAAGAGTGCTACATTCGGAAAGTTACGCTGTTGAGTGAGAAAGGAAACAAACATAATTTTTATGTTAGATTTTAGACCCATTTTAAATTGAAATTTTCATCCAGGTGTTGACACGTAACATTATTTACCAACTTAAATTTCCCAATCTCTAGGTTTTACACATGTATATTTACAAAACTTAAAATCACATTGTTAACAATATTTTAAATTTTACCAACTTGACGGTATCTTATGTAAAAAAAAAACCTTTTGTACAAATTAGTTAGACTTATTTTACTTCACTTAGTTAAACAAGTCCAACCAAACCCACGTATACCTAGAAAAAACTGATCTCAACAGCGAAGGATCCTATGGATGTGAGGTGTCGACTGAAGCGCCCTCTTACAGGACCGTGAAAGCAGATAAAGATATGAACGTGTATGGTAAGCTCCTTATGTTTTCCCTTTATCGATTTCAGTTTATGTTTATTAACAAGAAAAACAACTCTACTCGAAAACCGTGTTTACAGGTTAATGCTTAAAACTACTCAAAACAAACCCTAACATTCCCAGAGGAATTCATACATCGAAATTAACAAATTTGTCTTCACATTTTCTTTCCTGGACTCTGATATTCAAAATGAAGCAAAATAGTTTACTAACTTAGCTTTTTTTTGTTAAACAAGACCGATGTCTGTAGGTTTACTTTCTTCTTAGAATTCTTCCCAAGAAGTCGATAAGCCGTCTTAACG